TTCTTTGTCCTTGACCGGTCTCTCTGGTTTACTATATTTATTTACCAGTTTCTTCGTTGTGTCATATGGTTGTTCCGTATTTCCTTCTCTTACAGCGTTTTCCGTTGTCGTTGATAGCTCTTCCGTGCATTTCTGCTTGTCAGCTCTAATGCTCTTCTTCACTTGCCTGCTTGTTTTTGTGTACTCATATTGTGCCTTGACTTGCTCTGTTCTTGTTCGACCGTTGTTAATTACTGTCTTCTTGCTCTTCTTTCTTTAAATGTTCCTCAGTGTTTTCATAGAGATTCATTCCTTATGATGATGCGGCTTGCGGTCCAGAATCTCCTGCACGTTGAAGTTGATACTTTTTTAATACCTTTCCAATTGTCCTCCATAGTAGTTTCTTTTTCTTTGAGGAGATCTTGTAAGGCTTGAAACCGAATGTCGATAGTTATCTTGAATTCATTGAGTTTGTCAGTATGTTGAGGAAAGGCTGTATTCAACCTTTGTTATTCCTTTTCTCCAATCGTGCACTACTTCTTTAGCTTCAATTTCGTCTAGGCAGCCACCAGGTGACGATCTGAAGCTATATCAGCTATTCTCTTGGTTCAAATGTCTTCCATTGACCTTCTCTAATTTTTAGTGATGTAAATATGATCGATCTGATTCTCTGTAGTGCGATCCGGTGAGGTCCATGTAATTTTGTGCATACAGTTGCGTGGGAATATTGTACCGCCTGTTACTTTTTTGTTGAATGCTGTTATATCCGGTGAAGATTAAATTACAGGTGACTTCCGAGGACTATTCATGGACTAATATCCTATAAATATTCTTATTGTATAACTATTCAACAATCACATTATGTATATTTATATCCCTCTTATGACAAGCTTTATTTTGGCCTATAATTTATTATTGTACGATTTACGGTTCTTAAGTTATGTTCAGTTTATTAACTACTGCCTCCCACATTCACAGCCACTTTTTGGGCTTATTTGTGTACAAATATTATTTCCTATTTTATGGTACGTTGCGGTCTGTATGATTGATATATAAACCAAGTATGCCTGAAATAAACGATCTGCTCTGATTCGGAAGCTGGTATCTTGTTCTGGACTCAAGTGGAAGGGCTCGTAGGACATAGGACCAATAAGGACGCTAAACTGCCCACACCGGTTGAACGTCATTGGTTGGCCTAGTGTGAAGATTCGTATAAGTCGTATTCGGATTGGTAGATAAGTCGTGTGATCGAAAAGACAGACATCCAAGGTCATAACAAATGCACATAAATTTACGAATCCATCACCATTCTCGTTTCTTTCTCCCGGTCGATGTCGTCCCATGTTATCTTCATATGCAGTGTGGTCCATTCCGACTTTGGCGTTTAGGTCTTCCATCGGTATGGCTGTGTCCCTTCCTATTCACTTCTCTACGGCCGAGATCAGCCTTTCATAAAACTGATCTGTATTGTCGTCGTTGTTATAATTAGTGGGTGCACGGCACTGGATAACATTCATCGTGATCCTCTCCTTCTTCACGTAATAGGATGCTCTGATGATCCTGGATCCGTGAGTTTCCCATCCTATAATTTCATTACGTGTTTCTTCAGACAACATAAAAACAAATCCCTAAGTATGTGGAACATTTCTTTCTTCGTGACTAGAGCACAACAGCTTCTCTCCCGAATCTTACCTTTGCTGTCCATCTTGGGTTCAATGGTTTTCACTTATTCCAAGCACCGTTAATTTGTATCTGCTCATTTCCACAGCTATTTGATTAGTCCACCTGAACCCTCACATTGTCTGAACATTCCATGTACCTATATTAATTATTGCTCTGGTTATTAGAAGAGGCATTCATCTCGTGACTTCCGAACAATCTCGTCTTTCAATATGAGGCATCATAATTCTTCTGAATGAAGATCGTTATGTCTATATGAAACTAGTTACGTTAATAAACTATACAGAACATGTTTCAAAGAAAAAAATTCAATCTGTTTATTAAAACTTGAATATTTTAACCAGTATATAGTTACTTCATAATTAGATCCCCAAATAAGTTAATGCTAAGTAATAAAACAAAAAAACCAGGTCGAATACAACTGCTTTGTATACGCTAATTCTCAGTTTACCTCAAATTAGATTTTCCATGATCCTCTTGAATAAAAAGAATTTGTCTATCTACTAACTACAACAGTTGAGATCATGAGTCAATTGAATCTAGCCCACCATGAAAAATCTGGAAGCATTGGACAAGTGGAGTTCAACCGGGTCAGTTGTGAGGTAGTAACTCACTGATGACAATAGTGGATGTGTCGCTTAAGTTCGTGGATTAGTTGAAGTTAAACATGAACAATACTTGATACCAGTTCAGTGATCTAGAGATTAAGTGTTTGTATGCGGAACTGATAGGTTATGGATTCGGATCTCATGAGGTGGGATCATGGATATGCACTGTTGAGGAATCTCACAATAGAACAAAACGATCGCCCAGTGTTTCTAGGTTTTCCATAGATGTCTAGCTTCAAGTGACTCATGAATTCAATTATTCAATTACTATAATCTTTACAAAACTCCCTTTTGATAATAATCATAATGAGCTTATTAGTGACTGGCTACAAGAGGTATTTCCTGGAGATCTAGTGAGAAGCAGTAACCAGTGGAATTCAACTGAATCTGTTGTTGAGATAGTAACTCACTAATGACAATGGTGGATGTGTTGCTCAATTTCGTGGATTAGTTGAAGTCTGATCAGCCCTAATGGGTTGGTATCGGACGAAATCTCAGCACGGATTCGGAAAGCTCGTTTGGCTTTTACCAACTTATGTCACCTATGGCGAATGCAAGATATTCGTCTATCAATGAAGGGGTGAGTATACTGCGCGGCAGTTCGTTCTGTTCTATTTTACGGCTGTGAAACGTGGCCATTAATAGTAGAAGATACACGTAAGCTACTAGTATTTGACCACAGATACCTTAGAAATATTTCTGGCGTCTGCTGAGATCACTGGGTAAGTAATAGTGAGGTTCGACGCAGGGTATTAGGGAATGATGGTAAGTCAGTTGATGAGGTTGTGAATCTTCATCGACTGAGATGGTTGGACCACGTGTTGCGTATACCTGAACACCGATTACCACGACATACGATGCTGACTAGTGTAGGGGATGGTTAGAAGAAAGTTAGGGGCGGCCAAACCAAAACGTGGCATCAGTGCTTGAAATCACTAACTTCTAGTCTGAGCCATGTTGGGAGATACAGACTACTTGGTTGTAACCAATGGTTGGAGACTCTGTGTGACATGGCTCAGAATCGATCACAATGGCGTCGTTGTATACACTCCCCGTCTTCCCTTAAACTAAGAGATTGAAATCACTCCATATCTTTCTTTGTACTAACTAATTCTTTCTTCCTGTACTATGTCCTTATATTCAATCTTTCTCCTATATATTACCACCTTTGACCTAACCACTCCTATGAATCCGGTGTTCATCTTGCTGTGCTAATGAGGTATGGCAACCTGGACCGATGCATATATGTGCCTGGTCCTACGTTGTAGCTGACTGACTGACTGAAACACTAAAATCGTTGAATACCGGCCGGCTCAGCGGTCTAGTTGGTTAAGCGCATGGTGCGAGACTGATAGGTCCTGGGTTCGAATCCCGCGAAGCGGGATCATGGATGCGTGCTGCTGAGGAGTCCCATACTAGGACAAAACGGCTGTCCAGTGCTTTCAGGTTTTCCATGGTGATCTTGCTTCAATTGACTCATGATCTCATCTGTTGAAATTACTACAATCTCAACAAAACCTTTTCTGATACTATCTACTAATTAGTTAATGAATCGACTACTTACTTTATTTGTATGTATATATGTACGTACATACTACGTTGTGACAGACAGCCAGAAATCAATTAATCGATCAGTTCGAATATCATTTAAACTTATTTCTACAAAGGATTATCATATATTACACGTATATTTTTCTTATTGAATAAATAAACCCATTGGTAATAAATATACTACTTATTAGTGGTGGCTAGTAGTTTTTAACGAGAAAAAAAGTTGATTATTTGATCATACAAGTAAGTTATTCTTATGAAATTGTTTTACAATCAAAGAATTTGTTAGATTTTAAGGGGTACTTTTTTAACATTACATGATAACGAAATCAAGTTGTTAGTCAGATGGATAGGAGTTGGAAGTACAGTGTAGTTACAATCTTAGTTGAACTGATATCTCAATTCAGCTTCATAGTTTAAGATGTTACCGATGAGCCATTCATGTAACAAGATTATGATGAGAACAAGATTCCTAAGTGAAGGAGAGTTCCCTAACCGAAGGTATTGGGTTCTATTCCCGCTTGTGATAAAGTAGATGTATACAAATGTGAAGTACCATATAAGGACGAGATAGCTGTCCTATGCTTTCAGGTTGTCTCACGTAGATCGTTTCATGATTTCAATGAAACAAATTTCTGAGTTAAATTGTCTGTGCTTATTAGTTAATATTTATTTATTTATTTATTTAAACGCATAAACATTGGTACAATAAGGCACCAAATAAATGTGCGCCACATAAATCATTCGATTTATGTAAGAGTTGGGATACTGCTCAGGTGCCCAAATCGAAGCAGATAGTTTTCTTATGGGGCCACACCCGGAGCCTCCGATCTAAAAGTCTGATCCATAAGGCAGTGCAGCAATGTAAGGAGATACAGTCCCATAGTAGCTAGTGACCAACAATTGGTTCATACGCCATTTGTTTCCTTAGGATCCTAGAGTACATGTTCACTATTGGTTTGGAATCAGGATTTTCCAACTCCCCTAGATGAACTCTCCGTACATACCAACCCGGTTAAATCATCGGACATTCGCTTTTCATTCTCTCAATTTCATAAACAAAACCCCCAACACAAGAAGGAAGTTCAACAAACTTTTTTTTTATTTTTATTGTTTATATCAATGAATCTTCAATCTTTACACTTTTCTGTTCATCTTATCACTTTAGATTTACACCAACTTATGGCTTATGATCAAGATAATACTAAAGCATGTTTAAAATGTGGATCTAAATGTCCTGGTTTCATGAAACATTCATGGAGGTAATAAAAGTAAAACATATATATCTCTCTATTCTTTCTTATAGAATGTTATGTACACAATGTCATTGTGCATATTATGAACATGATATTGATGATTTTACTAACCAATCAATATTAGATCAATTAGATTTAAATCAATCATCATTCTATGATAAATATATGGATGCACAAAATTTGGCTAAACAATTTGGATTACATTGGTTACCTATTGGTGTTAAACCAGTTGAAGTAAGATTAGTATTATTATTATTATTATAATAATGATGTTACATATGCATACTACCTTAATGTAATAAGAAAGGTAGAAATGATCAAACCAAAACGTGACTTCAGTCAATGAAGTTACCGACTACTGAAATCACTCATAAACTAGGACTATTGTGAAATAGTAACTCACTGAGAACGATGATGGATGTGTTGCTCAATTTCGTGGATTGGTTGATGTTAGACATAAGCAACATTGGATTTCGGTTGGCTCAGTGGTCTAGTTGGTTAAGGGCTCACGCGTGAGACTGATAGATCCTAAGTTGGAATCTTGCGAGGAGGAATCGTGGATATGCACTACTGAGGAGTCACACAATAGGAAGAAAAATGGCCTTCCAGTGCTTCCAGGTTTACCATGGTGGTTTAACTTCAACTGACTCATGATCTCAACCATTGAAAAGACTAAGACTAATTGATTCGGTAGGTAAGCATTACTATAATAATTTCAGGTTGAGATGAATCAGATTCGCAGTCTTCTACTTTTAAGTGATACCATAATTTGTAATGAAAATTACTTATTACCTACAATGATCAACTCTGTAATATTTTGCCCCCAAATGACCTGGTGCTATCGAGAGTGGGGAGAGTTAAACCTCCCTTTCGAAATGCTCTCACATGGCCACGTGCACACAAACACTAACACACAAGTCCTACTCACTGCCTTCGCGTAGCATCACCATTGTTTACGAACTTGAGAGCACGAAGAGCGAATGTCCGGCGCTTTAACTGGGTTGGTGGATACGGACGATCGATCCACCTAGGAGATTTGGAAAACCTTCAGTCCAAACCAATGCTGTACATGGGCTCCAGGATCCTGAAAGAACAAATGGTGTATGAACCTATTGTTGGTCACCAGCTACCATGGGACTGCATCCCCTAACGTTGCTCCACTGCCTTGTGGATTAGACCTTTAAGTCGAAGGCTGGGGTGTGGCCCGCTATGAAAACCATCTGCTCCGATTTGGGCACCCGGGCATTATCTTATCCCTCACAAAAGTCGGATGATTTATATGACGCATATCTACTTGGTACCAGTAAATAATACTGTATCTGATATGGACTGTTCGAAGAAGGTCAATAGGATAGATTACTGAAATATATTATGATCATATTATCTTTGTGTTTGTAATGTGTAGGTCTTGACACGAACTGCATGATCACTTACAGAAAGCCGTAGCTTCTGGGTTTAGTTAAGTTTATTGGGTAACCGTTGAAAATCCTTCCAAGTTGATTAAAGTCTAAACTTTGAGTTCGTGGGTTTCAGATTCAGTAGTCTGTAGGTATAGAACCTTAAATATCAATTCTAAGGGTGTTTGGTTTCATTCCATGACGAGGTTATGCTAACCCGTTGATATAAATTCTCAGGCTTGAACAACACAGCTATTATTTAATACCACCAAATTTTATTAGCTTCCCAGGTGATATCGATTAGTGATGAAATACTATAATAATAATATTAAGAACAATAATAGCGGTAATGATAATGATAATAATATACTTATCTCTTTTTCGATCTAAGGTGAACTCATTTTTGAATAGTCTACCAAAGGATGAATTACCTCATGGTGAAGTTGTTGATCATATTAGACGTCAACGTCTTAGAAAACAAATACCATTACAAGATCGTAAACCAGCTCTAGCAATTGAAGAATTATGGCATCATTCAAACGATTCAAATCCTAACTTAGAAAATGAATTAATTGAAGCGAACCGTTTTAAAAATTTTCGTAATTTTCATGATTTTGGTATTGGATTCGTAGAACATATGAATGACAAAGATGGACAGGTAATGAAAACAAAAGTTTTAGTTGACTGATTTAATGAAACTACAGTATAAAACAACATAAGTCCTAGCTAAGTAATGAGTTGAAGATTTCAGAAGAATCTTCGATCTTATATTAACTTCATCCTTCTTCACATATAAAACACATGGCTTGACTATCATCATAATAATATTGATAGAAATTATTGATTGATACTTGATTTCATCGAAACGGTAGTGTTGTGATCATTAACGTCCAACATAAACAAACATGCAATCCCAACTAGTTATATGATCGGAAAGACTAAGATATTAATAAGAAACTGCAATTAGTGTCAGTGAATCACTAGGTGAACAAATCGTTGGTAGATCCAGACCAAAACACGTAGGTTGAGACCTTGATTAGTGACCTAATTGATTTTCTCTGGTAGAGTATCTCGACTATAATTTATCACCTAACACTTAACCTTGAGATAAGGTATGAACACAAGCATGTAATATGTTTAATATATCAGTAACTAATATCATATATCCCTCATCCTTGTTACTGATTGACAACATGACACTGGGTATTAATGTCATTATGATCACTTAACGTACGATTATCTGTAGTCTACACAAGATCAATGATGGTTCAAATAGCTTAGTAGTAATATTATCCAGTCAGTTAGTTCTATCACGGTTACAAGAATCATCAAATAGGCTTAGTTTAATAAGATAGTTTATTGATTGATGTAACAATAAAGAAAACTTGACAAGAATTGTCAATTACCTTTAACCCAATTATGGTCATATACCATATAAAGATTTCATGATTGAACTTCAAAACAAAACGCCTACAATTAATTTCATTTGATAAAATTCATCAATATCAATAAACTAATATAAAGTGTACTATAGTCCAGTCTCATGATCATATATGTTAGTGGAGTGGTTGAAGTTCGACACTGACACCGTTGGATCTCAGATCAATGGTCTAGAATTTAAGCGTCAACACCCAAGACCAATAGGTCGTGGTTTCGAATCTCGCTAGTGGAATCATGGATACACACTGCTGAGGAGTCCCATACGAGGATGAAACGACTATCCAGTGCCCCTAGGATTTTGTTAATGTTTTCTCACAGTATTTGGGCGCCGAGTTAATGTGAGATAAAAAAAAAGAGGAAGAATGTATCTGTAAAATCTCAGAGAATGAATTTGAAGTAAATCTAACGTTTCACCTGGCAATTTGATGAGTTAATATATAAGAACTCTCGCTGAAATTTGAATGAATAGTTTCATTTACTTATGCGACCTACTTGAAATATGACTGATCAAATCATTCGCATAGCAACACCGGGAGGTGGTTACGAATGCGAAAATGTCAATTAATAGCTGTGATAAAGTAGAAGAATATGATAAAACTATAGTGATGATAAAAATCCAGAATTAACAAACTGTTCTGCATTAATAGGTCAGTTTCGATATTATGATCAGCTAGTGTAAAGTAGGTATCTTTAACTGGATTTTGTAAACAATGTCAAAGGATGAATCTGAGGCTTAATGTCATGGTATCTACTATATATTCCAGATTAGAAGTTTCTATAAGATTGTACAGCTTTGAACATAGATACTTTGATAAATTGTTTTGTGTGTCGGGTAGAGACAGGTGTCTACCTCAGTTCAATGGGAGATAGTCGCGTAATTTCGTGGATTTGTTGAAGCTAGATATTAACACCACTGAATGCTGGCTCAGTGGTCTAGAGGTTAGACGTTCGCACGCAAGACTGATAGGTCCATGGTTCGAGTCTCACATGCGCGATCATCGATGCGCACTGCTAAGGAGTCCCATACTAGTACGAAACAGCCGTCTAATGTTTCCAGGTTTTCAATGATGGTCGGGTTCATGATCTCAGTAAAAAAAAATTGAGTTTTATCTAATGTGCATATATAAAGTCACTGGGTATTTCGTTCAACTTTTTCTCTATTACTTGTCATATTATCGAAGATGTTTTATAAAATTTACTTTTAGCCATGTACAAATTGTTCGAATATAATCCATTTTGATGATTTCTGTATACGAATTAAACCAGAACATTCTTTAATAGAAGAAATGTCTAACATACCCTCGAATCATACACCAGCTTGGCATTTGAATTGTTTTCGATGTACAATATGTCATGAATATTTAGTTGATTATATATATGCTTGGTTAAATAACCAACCTTATTGTTTACGACATTATGCTCAATCAGTACGTCCACGTTGTGTGACATGTGATCATGTAAGTGATTTCCTTAAGTAAAATTGTTTACAATTATATAATTAAGGTTAACCAATCTATACTTTTTTTGCAGAAATTATTCTATTCTATGAATTCTTAAATGTTGTAATAATTTAAAAGTGTTTTGGTAAAATATTTTTCAAGAAAATTCTTGAGTACTGTTAAAGGTATGACGGCGGTTATCATTTTCCGGGTTCTTCTAGAAGTACTTCAGGAAATTAGATTAGAAGTGGTCTTAATGACCTGAGAGCATGACCGCAGTGCCCAAGGGACAATTGATTGAGGTCGGTCACACATGACATTTTCATGAGTAATTTCTGTGTTAGCTCCGTACTTGTTCAGACCTTACCGCCGGAGACATATCCGTGGGATAAGGCGAGGTGTGTATTTTAAGGGTCGACCTTTTCTAATCCCACCATTCCTAGTGGGAAGGCAGCATCGCTATCGTTCTGGTTGTCTGAAGGAAACACCTTATTACTGTCACAACTCTGTACAGTCAGCAGTAAGACTTCTCCTTCGGACCTTGGGTTTGTTGCTTTTAGTCTTACCGCTCTTCAACCGACCTGTCTGATATGGTAGGACCTTGAGGAACGGTTGTTCCAGCCAGTATAGCTCGGTTACTTCATCACGATAGGCAAGGCCGACCACCACATCAAGGTAGCAACAAGGGCCGGGGCAAGAAAATTAATTGTAGAATAACTGAGATAATCGAATAGATTATATATATACTCAGTGGAGTTGCCGCCTAATCTCAATTAAATAGGTCATAGGACGAGACTAACTGGTTTGGTACGTATGAAGTAGTATATATATAATTTTGTACCATAAGCTGATAAATAAAGGACTCAGTTTGCAAATAATGGGTTATTAGCTCTGATCACCCCATACTTAAAAGCATCCGAGTTCTATCATTACGACCAACACATGTAAAACATTGCCACTGAAGTATGCGTTAACTGGAAAGATTTCATATTCATGTGTCACATTCTGACTCATCATAAAGTGATCCTAAGATCTAGGTATTAGTAATAAGAACAATATATCGCCCTTCCTTTAAGTGTAGAACATGAATCGTGCTATTTGAAATTTCAGAAATAATCACTGTTGACCCGTTGTTATTATCTTGAAACAAACTGACAAGTTTATTATTCGACTGATTTTCAAAAGGCCATAGATTAACTCCTGAGAAATTGTAACTTAGTAGGATGAGTAGATTTAATAGACGTTCTTCCATATTAAAAAGCCACGTAACAAAATATCTAGGATATTACCATATTCTGACGGATACTAAAACACACTTCTAGGAAATACATCGTAAAACTACTTCGACAAATCCATGAGGAGTCCCATACTAGGACGAAACGGTCGTCCAGTGCTTCCAGGTTTTCAATGGTGGTCTAGCTTCAACTGACTCATGATTTCAATCTGTGAAACCCATGATCGACAGATCCAAATCTATCAATCTCTGCCCTATTAAATCATGCTTTGTTGTATTTATTCATAATATTCACCAATCATATGTCGACCTTTTAAAAAGTAGCTGTTACATTTTATATAACAAAATTAAATCAACCAATAGTTTATAACCAGCCACTTTTCATAACATTTTCAACCAATCAGAAGCTGAATTCATGGACTCGGAGATTAGGGTATGACTAATCCAATCTGATCAGACAACTTAATATGGGTCTACACTAAAGAGGGAGAGAGAGAGGGGTGAGAGAGATGACCATGTCATAAACAAAACTGAAATCTGATTGGTTATTGACTAACTTTATTGCACATCTTTATATGTGTGTGCCTAGCCTGTCTATATTCATTGCAAATAGAATTGCTTCAATAATACAACAGTGTAGACAAGGTCATATGCTACATCTCTTATTGGTTCATTTATTCAATAGGACTCCTGTATAGGTGTGTGTGTATGTGTGTTTGTATCACTAGCTAAATACAAATTAGCCAAGTGTTCTCCTGTTATTATTTTTTTTCTTCATCATCGTTTATAGCTTATTTTCTCAGAAGAATATACTAGAGCTATGGATCAAGAACATCATTCTGGTCATTTTGCTTGTCATAGTTGTGATGCATCATTAACAGGACAACGTTATATATTACGTGATGATGAACCACATTGTTTAGCTTGTTATGAAGCTAAATTTGCTAATACATGTGAACAATGTAAAGAAAAAATTGGTTGTGATTCAAAGGTTAGTTAATTTTATGAAATAATTTCAATGTATAGTTTGATTTAGTTTTTTTTTGTTGTTGTTGGTGAAACTATCATTTATGGACAACCTTTGAGTGACACTAAACTGACCTTGACAGTGTTAACTTATCTGAGCTCCCAATTTTGGGGAAATGTCACAAAACCCCCAAAGTTTCCTCAGACCTGGAGGAATTCCCCATTATTTCCCCAAAATCCCCTTTTTAACCTTGGTCAAGGTAATTTAACTTTGGAGGTTTCCCCAGAATTCCCCAAACATTGGTGAAGATCATTTGACTTTGAGAGTTTCCCCAAACTTGGGAGCTCGGGTAATACCTAGGATCAAATAAGAGTTATAAACCAGTGTGTGAGGAATTAGAAATTAGATTTTGGGGTTTTTCATCACGAACTGATATAAGTGATAATGCTAAAACTCTATTTTGACCAATGGATGAGTGAAGTTCACGCTTAAATCCGAGACCTGTTATCCTATACCAAATTGGTTTGTTTATAAATTATAGTCTCACTAGATTTTTTAAAGCCATACAGTGATTACTTGTTAGTTGTGTAGAAAACTGCATTGGTATTTATAGGTTACAATTTAATTTTGGAATGTCAATCATTCTCTATAGATTGGATTGTTTTACTTATTCACTAGGCTCAGCAATTCGCACAGGCTGTAACCATGACAAAAGCCGTATGAATTTATTGATTTGTTCATGATGATTTAAGGATACACAAGTGAAAGTTTCATATGTTGAAATAAGACCGAATATATAGTCGTAGCTACTTTGTATTCTCTGTTAGGAATACATATATGTTTGATTATAGGGTAGAATGTTGTTTTACTTTCCCAATGTCACGTTTTAATATATGTAGTTTTAATGGAATCAATTAGAAATAGTCCATCTAGTGTGGTATTTTCTTAATGCATTGTCAAAATAGTTTAGTATCATTATGTCGACATAATAAATCTACTGTTCATTAGTATATGTCTGTTTCTTGTTAGTAAAACTTAATAGAATTCCTGCTACTAGACATATATGGGGTTTTATATGACTATTCATGATAACATTTTCAGTTTTTGCCTTAGATATATTATTTTCATTTTTTTCTCGAACCACAATTTTCTTGAGGATGACAGTGCTAACCGGTATTGGAGATGGTTGGAAAAACGCTAGGGGCGGCCAAACCAAAATGTGGCGTCAATGCTTGAAGTCACTAACTTCTAGTCTGAGCCACGTTGGTAGATGCAGACTACTTGGTTGAGATCCGCGTGACTATCGTAACCAATGGTTGGAGACTGTGGGTGACATGGCTCAGAATCGATCACAATGGCGTCGGTGTATACACTCTCTGTCTTCCGTTAAACTAAGAGATTAAAATCACTTCATATCTTTCTTTGTACGAACTAGTTCTTTCTTCCTGTACTATATCCTTATTGCAATCTTTTATATATTACCAACTCTGAATTAACTATTTTTATGAATCCGGTGTCCATCTTATTGTGTTAATGAGTGAGGTATGGGAACTTGAACCGATGCATATATGTGCCTGGTTCCTACATTGTAGCTGACTGACTGAGGATGATAAAATGTTGAATCCCAAGCAATGCATATTGAATTAGCCGTTAAGAAGTTAATTTTGTAGTACTTCCGTAATGTAATGTAATGTTATTTCATAAATAAATGAAATATTCCTAATCTGTTGAAATGAAAGTTTACTTTAAAGGTTATCTTTAATGTTGACCAAGAGTCTGTACATTGATGAAACAATAGTTCCATTCGCTACTACTCATCTGTTATCAGGGGAATATAATAAGTACATATTTTACTGTAAGTAAAGTTACTTTTTCATCTTTGATGAATTGTTCGGAAAGCTAAATTCAAACTCGTGGTTGTCGTTTAAAACAACTCAATCGGCTTTTATCCTAATTATTGAGGTGTTTTCCTAGCTCTTATACGAATTAAATTCTTTCGTTTTTGTAGCTTTAGTGACTCCATCATATTTCCTGGCGTACGGAATTACATTTCTCGTTTTTTCTGTTAAGAGAAAAAATATAACACTAGGAAGCTTTAGTTTAACTACAGCCTTGATAGTTGCGTCAATCAGCTCATCGGAAAACCCAAGCGTTCATTTAGAGACTGAAACAATATTGAACCTTGATGTGGGGTGCTGGATCAGTAGCTAAGGCGTTAAGCTTTTATCTACAAGTTGCAGATTTGAATCCCTCTCCATTTACTTCGGTTTGTGCAAGTTAGTTTCACTAGATTTTCTATTCAGGATGCTGCTCGACTCCAAATATATGAACTTATGCCTGGCAACTGAGCTAATTTATCATGCAATCTGCTAGTCTTCAGGATGTTTTTCTTCCTAAAATTAATCTGTCGTTTATTTATTTAAATTAAAGTCTCATTAGTCTCTTTATAAACTTCACTGTACTATACTAAAGTAAAACTAGCAATGTTTGTCTGTTTATTTATTTCGAAGTTCCTTGTAGCAATGGCTTTCAGTTTGAGGTTATGGTTTTTATCGCAGTAAAATCATTCTATAGTTTGACTTACATTTACAGGTGAAAAATTTGTTCAGTCTTACCAAACAAAGGTGAGACTATAATTTATAGACGACCTGTGAGCGACGCTGAAGTGACCTTGAGAGTGAACAACTACTAATTATCAGAAGGGGTTTGTGGAGATTTTTAGAAATTTTCACAGATTGAAATCATGAGTCAGTTGGAGCTAGACCACCATTGAAAACCTGGAAGCACTGGACGACCGTTTCGTCCTAGTATGGGACTCCTCGGCAGTGCGCATCCACGATCCCGCACCACGCGGGGCTCGAACCCAGGACCTACTGGCTTCGCGAGCGAGCACTTAACCACTAGACCACTGAGCCGGCATCCAACGGTGTTAATGTCTAACTTCAACCAACTACTAATTAGTACTAAATGAGGGTTATAAAGCAGTTAGAATTCTCACTTACAGTTGATGGTTAGGGTTAAAAATTAGATTTAGTGTTTTCATCACGAACTGACATCAGCTATAATGCCAAAACTCTATTTAGCCAAATGGATAGATGAATTCGGCGTTCAAATTCGTGACTCGTTATCTTATATCGTATTGATTCGTCTGTAAATGATAGTCTCGCCATAATAAGATCAGCTGATTGTTTAATAGTTAGAATGATAGAAAATGAAAACTCAGGATGTTAAAACAGTTGTATTGACTTTAATGCATGTTTTAATCGGTACGGTATATTAGATAATTACACAGTTCAAGACCCAGTATGTTATTGTGCACTGTACGAACAAATAGATGGAGATAATTCAACAATGCTTAATTGGGAATGCAGAATGCAAAGAATAGTGTTAGCTTCTATTATCTTGTAAAAAGTGATCGTACTAACAACGCTACTGGTTGTATACCCTGGTACGGCGGAGAGCGGGAAGAGTCCGCTCTCCTTCTCGAAATGCTCTCACATGACCACGCGTATATAACCTCTTCCAAGGAAGTCCTACTCATTGCCTTCTCGTGGCATCACTGTTGCTTACGAAATCGAAAGAACGAAAAGCGAATGTCCGGTGCTTTAACCGAGTTGGTAGACATGGAGAGTTCACATAGGGGAGTTGGAAAACCCTCATTCCAAGCCAATGGTGCACATAGGCTCCAGTATCCTGCGGGAACGAATGGCATATGAACCTATTGTTGGTCACCGGCTACCATGGGATTACATCTCCTTACGTTGCTCCACTGCCTTGTGGATCAGACCTTCAAGTCGAAGGCTTCAGGTGTGGCCCCCTAAGAAACCACCTGCTTCGATTCGGGCACCCGGTCAGTATCACAACCCTCACACATATCAAATGAGATCTGTGTGGCGCATATGTATTTGGTGCCTCCTTGTATGAATGTCTATGTGTCAAAGTAAATAAATAGATACTGTACTTTAACCGATAATTATTCTAATACTTATATAATTACATGATATTTGAGTATTGTGAACCATTTGTTAATCAAAATATTACTTAACCATATTTTTGGTAGTTTTTGGTATCTAACAGTGAATAATTTTCTGTAAATAAGGGTTAATACCTTTATCATGGTGGATATTGTGTAAGTGACTTTCGAATTCTTTATTTTGTAGGCGATGCTGTATTCACTTAACTGATTTTCTATACGATATATCATGTTTAATAAACTTGAGTATTTTCCATCAAAAGTCTTAATTGTGTGTTTTTAGTTCGCAAATTGTATCTCCATTTAATCCAGAGTAGAATCATCACTATCCTTATCAGTTACCCGAATGATACTACTCACTAATCAATATGCTCTTCCAAGTTTCCATTTTAGATGTCAAAAATACATTGTGAACTTGTGATATTTTACTCAATTTATAACATCATCTAGTACAGTTCATTCTGTACAATTACAATCTGTTAAAAACTTTTTACATTCTTATATACTACTTGTACATAACTATTAGGGTATGTTAAAACCGGAAGTTGGCATTACATCACTTGTTCGGGATGCATCAGAACCTGTACGAAATGCAGTTTATACATCATCTCAACAATCAAATGTTAGATTTCATCCAAGTTGTCCAATGCCATATATTCTTGGTCCTGGTTATAGCGTCGGACAAGCATGGCAATGTGATACAATCAAGGCAGGTGAAAATCCATCAAAAGATCTATTCATCCTTCTTCACCTAACGCCTATGATGCCAATGTTACATGGTATCGCTTTGTATCGTCGTAATCGTGCTCCCTGTGATTTTCATGTGTTTCCTTTTTTTTTTAATGAATATCAGTTTATTATTGTGTTGGACTATATTCCTTCTATGCACTCATTGATTTCCTCTTTTCTTCTTATCATCTACAAGAAATCAAATGTATAGCGATCATTAGTTTTTTGTTTTGTTTTTGTCACTAACTATTTGTGAGTGGGAGCAATAGAGTTTCCTATGCATAAACATGATGTTAGTTCATTCGTTTTCTTTACTACACAAACATACTTATACTTTTACTCATTTCTTTTTTTCTCTCTAAATTTGTGTGTTCAATTGAATGCATGCTAAATTCTTAAAAAAAGAACTAGTTTAATATTTAACATTCAGCTTTCACACCACTGTTCTTTCCATTAGACGTGTTGTATTTTGCTGCATTCCAAAAGAGATTGGATTCAATCTCTTTTCATTAGTGTATTTGTTCCAATTGTGTTGTCAATCTTTAATAGAATTGACTATATTACATAATTTAACATTATTATTTTTTTGTTGTTGTATTTTCTCCCAGGATCTTTCATTTAAAGAAAGACATTGGCATGAGAAATGTTTCAAATGTTCTGCTTGTACTACTTCATTAGCTGATCGACCATTTGCTACAAAAGAAGAACAATTATATTGTTCTGATTGTTATGATGAACGTTTTGCTGCACGATGTGATGGTTGTCAAGGTGTATTCAAAGCTGGAATGCGTAAATATGAATATCGTGGACAACAATGGCATGAAGAATGCTTTTTATGCGTTGAATGTAAACAACCAATTGGTGCGAAAAGTTTTATTCCACGAGAAAATCAAGTTGTATGTGTACCATGTTATGAAGCGAAATATGCTCAACGTTGTACTAAATGTTCAGAAGTAGGTTTACATTCATTACTTTCCTACTCTATTATTTATTGTAATGATTACAACGACGAGATGGTTGGAAGAAAGTTAGGGGCGGCCAAACCAAAACGTGGCGTCAATGCTTGAAGTCACTAACTTCTAGTCTGAACCATGTTGGTAGATGCAGACTACTTGGTTGGGGTCCGCGTGACTAACGTAACCAATGGTTGGAGACTGTGTGTGACATGGCTCAGAATCGATCACAATGGCGTCAGTGTATACACTCTCTGTCTTCCCTTAAACTAAGAGATTAAAATCACTTCATATCTTTCTTTCTACTAACTAATTCTTTCTTCCTGTACTATATCCTTATTGCAATCTTTTATATATTACCACCTCTGAATTAACTACTTTTATGAATCCGGTGTCCATCTTGTTGTGTTAATGAGTGAGGTATGGCAACTTGAACCGATGCACATATGTGCCTGGTTCCTACGTTGTAGCTGACTGACTGAATGATGAATAGTTTGGAAAAACTAGTGGTTTTATGTTTTTCTTTTGTCATTTTAGAAAATTTCATAAAATTTTATTCGCTAAATATCAATAATAACTACATGGAAAACAAGATAAAATTGTATGGTTTTCCAGCTAAAGGTTCATTGAATATTAGAAGACACTGACACATCATGATTAAGTCATACGACTTTCAACCAATAGGTTGTAGGTTTGAACCCCATAAATCTGTACTTGGTAAATGGGTTCCTTTTATGGAAAGAAAACAAAGTTCGTTCATTCTCTATCTTGCTTACCATCGTCTGGTTAATATCATTCTTAATTTCCAATCCTTCGATCACATTGCTCCTTTTGAAATATATTTCTTGTGTTTAGATTTTAATTGTCGTTTATATAGTTCCTCATTCTATGTTTTTTATCTCAGCCATACCTAATCTAAAACAAGGGACAGGAGCTGTTCCTGATGGATCATTTTTGGAGATCGAATTTTGACTGTTGGATTGACTGGGATAATAACTAAAGTCCAGGGAGTGAATGTGATCCTATCTGACCGGTCTCGATCCCTGATTGTCTAAGTTATAAGAGGGTAGAAAAATAGTAAATAAATTAACTAGTACAGTATTTAGAACATTAGTCTTAATAATTATCCAATGTTTGACTGAAGCTGTTGAAGAACAATCTCGAGAAAACCAAACGGGTTTCAGGCTTGAGTGTAAATATATATATTAACTCTGTCAGGTTCTAGAACTTAGCCATACCTAACATCGTTTACTTTTCACTGATTGAAATCATGAGTCATTTGAAGCTAGACCACCATGTAAAACCTGGAAGCACTAGACGGCCGTTTCGTCCTAGTATGGGACTCCTCAACAGTGCGCATCTACGGTCCCGTACCCCACGAGATTCGAACCCCAGACCTATCAGTCTCGCGCCAGGCGCTTAACCAACTAGAGTCCCATACTAGGACAAGACGGCCGTCCAGTGCTTCCAGGTTTTCCATGTTGGTCTAGCTTCAATTGACTCATGATTTCAATCAGTGAAACTTCTAAAATCTCCACAGAACCCCTTCTGATCGTTTACTTTTGTTGATTTTCTCAGACTATATTCATCAAAACAATGTTAATTTTAATGATAAATAACATATATCAATCTCTTAATGTCAAATATTTCAGTTTTTTATGTATGACTTTCGTCTGACTTGTAGTAACTGGGTTCATTCAACTCTTTAAATAAAACATTTCACCCATTTATATTCTAACCTAAAACGAACAACTTTTCTTTAACAAAAGGTATTGATTGACATTAAACTTGAACATTTCAGCCATGTTTTCTTTTTCTGAAAAAGAAATAATTGACATTTTCTAAATGTCTACATGTTGTTACTACATATATATATATTATCAGGTTATACGTCGTGGTGGAGTTACATATAAAGGGAATCCATGGCATAAAGAATGTTTCACTTGTACTAGTTGTTCTAAACAATTAGCAGGATTAAAATTCACTTCTAAAGATGAACAACCATATTGTGCTGATTGTTATGGGGAATTATTTGCTAAAAAATGTACAAAATGTACCAAACCAATTACTGGTAAAGTTTCTTTTTTGTTTGTTTGTTTGCTATTGTTTTCTATAAAAAAAAGTATTTTTATCTTTTTTATTTTGCCTTCTTTATATCCGTTATTCAGTCAGTCTCTAACTATGTACAACTTCGTACGTACATCAGTTCGAGTTGCCACACCATATTAGCACAGTGACGCAGTTGTCGATTCAAATCCCGTAATGGTAGAGGTAGTAAGAGTATAAGCAGTAATCGGAAGGATTTGGGTTTGGAGATGTTATTTAAAGAGTATAATCCAGTGAAATAAATTTTTGAAAGAGAAAAAAAGAGACAAGGAGGGTTCAGGGGATTAGGATTTGGGAGAACACAAAGAGTGGATGCACCTGTTAAGATTTTTCAATCCATTTGAAAAATATTTTTTTTCATTAAGTGTATTGATTAGAAAAATTGTAAGATTATTAGTTCGCCATGATTTGTTTATTTAAACACATAAATCATTCGATTCGTTTGAGGGCTGGGATACTGCCCGGGTACTCAAACGAAAGCAGTTGGTTTTATTAGAGGGACACACCCGAAGACTTCGACCGAAAGGTCTAATCCACAAGGTAGTGGAAGAACGTCAGGAGATGCAGACCCATGGTAGCCGGTGACCAACGATTGTTTCATACGCCATCTGTTCCTTCAGGATCCTGGAGCCTATGTACTACACCATTGGTTTGGAATCAAGGTTTTCTAGCTCCCCTAGATGGGTCCTCCATATCCACCAAACTGGTTAAAGCTTCGGATAATCACTTTTCGTCTTCTCAATTTCGTAAACAACAGTAATACCTCGAGAAGGCAGTGATTAGATCTTCCCTGTCAGTGATTGTATGCACGTGGGCATGTGAGAGCACTATGAGAGGGAGAGCGGACTCTTCCCATTCTTGGTCGTACCAGGGCATTTGAGGGCAGTTCACCATGAAGATGACTTGAAAAGGAATCTGTTAGTTAATTAGTTAGTTATTAATAATTTTTTTGATTATATATAACTCAGTTATTGTAAATATAGAATTTATTTTCTAGCATCATGTCTACTCTCCTAAAAAAAAAGAAAATTAAATTGATCCCTACTGTCTATCGATACAGATTAGATTATGTCTTGATAGTATTAACAATTAAACTAATCGACAACTAGTGATGAATTAACTAAATTGGATACGGTAGTATTAAAACACAGATTTTAGTGTTTATTTTGGTAGGTGAAGGGAAGGAGTGTTTGTTGAAACTTGACAGGAGAATATGATTATTAAGTGTTTATTTGTTTCTATGTCTATGTTATTTGATGTGTCTGTCTTCAAGTAGCCAGAAAAAGAGTATCTTTCAGTGTTATGACTCGGAATCGTTCATAACGGGGTAGTTACATTCACGTTTTATTTTTTTGTCTATCAAATCAAGAGGTTAAGTGTTCGCGCTCAAGACAGGTTCTTGCGTTTGATTCCCGGTTGAGGCGACAACTCCAATGAGTATATATATATATATAATCCATTCGATTATCTCAATTATTCCACAATTAATTTTCTTGCCCCGGCCGTTGTTGCTACCTTGACGTGGTGATCGGGCTTGCCTATCGTGGTGAAGTAACCGAGCTATGCTGGCTGGAACAACCGTTCCTCAAGGTCTTACCATGTCAGACAGGTCGGTTGAAGAGCGGTAAGACTAAAAGCAACAAACCCAAGGTCCGAAGGAGAAGTCTTACTGCTGACTGTACAGAGGTGTGACAGTAATAAGGTGTTTCCTTCAGACAACCAGGATGACAGCGATGCTGCCTTCCCACTAGGAGGGTTGGGGTTTAAAAAAGGTCGACCCTAAAAATGCACACCTTACCTTATCCCACGGATATCTGTCTCCGGCGGTAAGGTCTGAACAAGTACGGAGCTAACACAGAAATTACTCATGAAAATGTCATGTGTGACCGACCTCAATCAGTTGTCCTTTGGGCACTGTGGTCACGCTCTCCGGTCACTAAGACCACCTCTAATCTAATTTCCTTAGATACTTCCAGAAGAACCCTTCTACGGTATGGGCAACCGAGAAACGATAACCGTCCTCATACCTCTCACAGCACTCAAGACCACTGTATTCATAATCAATCTCCCTCTTCTGTCCAATGCTTTCGGATTTTCAACGGTCTAACTTCAATATGTTTGTGATTTCAATCTCCGCAGTCTTATAGTGATAGATAAGGTTTATTGAATAGTTTTACTTGTTTATGTCACATGTTAGTTTATGTTTCTTAAATTTGTTAGAATGATTTTCAACACAATCAAAAACTCTCTAAATAGTATTGATTTTTAAAAGAAAGTAAGAGAAATATCTGTAGCTGTGGGGATGAAAACTCGATAGGTGTTTGACTTTCTAAGCCAAACCACACCTGGCTCAGAGAACATAACACTTTCAAGAATAGGAACAATAACGGGGCGGATTTGCATGTATATAGTATATAATTCTCTTTGAAGCTAGCACACAACAATAGCATCATGCACTGTCCCATCGCCCTTGGCAGATCAGACAACCCGAAAGTTACGAGAATACCATCAGGGCATACGACAGGTTAGGTACCCCTTTCAAGAATAATTGGCATCAATTTCCCTTTTATTTGACTTGAAGAATACATAGGAACACCACGTCTTAAATAAACGTTGTTTTTTTGTTTGTTCGATCAAGCCAACGTTACCAACTTTTGTTTTGATATGATATTGATTGTATCCATGTGATGTAAAACATATTTCTTACCGATTTTTTTTTATTAAAAAAAAAATAGGATTTGGTGGTTGTAAATTTATTTCATTTGAAGATCGTCATTGGCATTCAGAATGTTTTCTATGTGGAAAATGTAATTGTAATTTAGTCGGTAGAGGTTTTCTTACCAGTGATGATATGATTATGTGTTCTGAATGTGGTCGTTAATTTCAATACACACTTCAAAGAAGAAGAAGAAGAAGAAGAAGAAGAAGAATAAAAGAAAAAAGAAACAAGCAGCAGTTTTACATCTAGTCAAAAGTGCGTGATTCATTCGTTCGTTCGTTCGTTCTTTCTTTCTTTCTTTATTCCGCTTTATGATATCAATTTGTTTTGTTTTGTGTTTTGTTCCATATGTTTGTTGGTTAAAATAGTCAAATCTTCATAGCTAATTCATTCTAATATGTTCACAATGCATTTATTATATACATATAGACATAAGATTTTCTTTTTGAACCATGACTTCAAATGATCCATTAACATAGAATGATAAACAGAACTATTCATTGTTGATCATAAAGAAATGAATTCATTATGGAATATATTCTATTCTAGTCTTTATTCATCTTCAATCCTTCAAATATATTGATTTATTTTTTTGTACTGTTTTTTTGTTTGTTTGTTTGTTTGTTGACGATGATGATGTTCACAAATTGTCTTCCTTGTTCACATCTATTCATTCAAATGAATGCACATATATACATCATTATTAGCGTATAAACTAATGATCTTTCACATTTAATAGTAATTTAACTTTTGTAGTTTACAGTTCTATAGTTTTCTTTTATATATTTTATGATTTGTGTGTGTGTGTATGTGCATGGCATAAGTGTTTAGATTTTCACTTTAGAACTGCTTCATCACTTATTTACTCGTAGGTATATTCCTACTGTTGTTATACATCAAGAGATTTGGGAGCTGGGCGGGAGGGAGTTGTTGAGCTTTCTTGAAAATGTATGGAATGTTGAGTTACCAAGTTGTCTTTTTTTTCTCTCTCTCTCTCTTTCGCTATTTCCTCTTTTCCACATGACGTATATCATCTAAAAAGAAATTCAATCCCTGTCATTGAAACTTACTTCTGTTCATGTGTATGAGATTTGACAACAACTATTCACGTCATTAGACATTATCAAACGGATTCATTGTCTATTATTCTAGAGTGATATATTCATTACCTTTATTTATTGTAAACATAATAACTATTCTAGGTATTTTATGAATATTATTGATTTCAACCAGTTTAACATGTGTGCTCTCCTTTCCGATTTCACACACAGAACACACACACAGATCATCTTTCTCATTTTGAAACTCATTTCCATGTTGTGTTTTTCTTTCTTTCTTTTTTTCATTTGCATGTAAAATTTGTTTTTATTAGATAATGCAGCGATTACATCTTAAGTACTTACATTATTGAGTATTGGAATTCATGCATAGAACATATGAATTGTGTGTGTGTGTGTGTGTGCGCGTTCCAATATATTCATCATTAATTTATCTTTTGAACTACCTTAATTATTTGTCTTGTTTACTTTTTGTTGTTTTGGTTTAATACCGTTAGTCTGTATTTAGTTGCGTTGTGCAAGCGTGAAGTAGAAGAGATGGATTAAGAGAATAAACGTGTTTGACGAGTGTTTTTTGTCCTATTGTCTATTCAGATTAGATGGACCCGAGTTTCGTGCTACTTGGCACTCGTCATCAAGGTGTACCTGTAATCTTGAAGGAACTGGTGGTCCCTGGCGGATTCGACCTCGTGTCACCCAGCTTCACAGTCAGAGACATTACCACTAGGCTATCCGAGCCGCGACCAACCTCCTGTAGGACTGAGATGTGTATTCATTACGAAAAAGGGAAATTAACAGTTTATCAATTTATTGTATTTTTAAAGCTTAAGCTCTAGTCTCGATTAATGAAGATCGTAAGTTAATGAATGCGTATTACTGAGGAGTTTGTCCGACAAATAAGCGAAGTTGAAGAAATTTCTTTTACGTAATTTATGCTACATTAATTGCTCCTTTCACAAATACTGCCAGTTTGTGACAATACACACTTGCTCCACCTCCATTTTAATTACTCAAAAAATCTTTAGGAGTTAAACTTTTCAGATGTTTCATATATTCATATCGCTCTAGCAACAACCTCGTGTGACCAGTTTTTATTTTGGAAACAAACAGCAATCACCGGATATTTAGTTCGGCCAGTAGAAGGGATTGTTTAAAGCGGTTATCAGATTACGAAACAAACTGATGAGTGATCATAGTGAGTAGAATGTGCAGGGGCATTATCTCGATGCAGTGGTCGGTGTGCATCATTCTTCAAACATAATTTGTTATCAATGACACTAGTTGAATTTCGTATATTTTCATCAGATAAATTACGTGATAATCCGGCCCAAACGTTCACCAAAGTTAAATAAAGAGAATTAAACTATCTCACTGAAGTAGATTCATTTTTTAATGAAATAAAAAAAGTCACATAACAATTGATCAGTCATAACAACATAGGACCTGGCACATATGTGTATCGGTTTGGGAGGTCCTCAATTCGTATAACTCTGAAGGATATGATTTCATGTTAAGATATTTTTTGAGATTAGGGACAATCATAGAAAGGTTCGTTTCCCCATCACCTGATTTCATATGAGATGAGATTTCCAATGACTAGTCGTTAACTAACGTTAGCCACTTTCATTTGGGAGATATCAAATATCTGATTGACTATCGATGTATAAATTGTCTGTTATTATTAGGTGTATACATAAATATATCTACTTAGAGTGGTTTGAGAGGATAAATTTGTTTTATTTTTCAATTTCAGTTAGGATTTTTTTCTAATTTGATTATAATCTTACGGTTATTGATGATGCTGTTCAGGACTATGAGAGTAAACAGGTTCCTATTTAAACCGACCGTCTCAGATAACATAAGTTTCAATCTGAGCTGCAAATCTTTTTCGCCATTTCATAATGATATAAATCTACTTATCATAATCGCTCAAAAAGCTTAACGTCATCAGTTTATCGCCCGTTGGCTCCTGAGTATACACTGCTAATATAGATTTGTCTAATCGATCTTGAGGGATCACTGATGTTTATAGTGAGAATAGGACTTATGGGCTCCGTCATTATGGCGTTACAATTACAGAGATGCCACTAAGTTACTCTATCTGAGAATAACCCTCTACACGACTGAGTTATTCACGTTAATCGATGTACTGTTGTTTAATCGTTAGTGTTGCTGATTGAACCCAATCGAATAAGTAATGTGTTTATGAATCTAAGTGTTCCATCATACGTGTAATGAGTACTTACTCTTGTTAACCCTCATGGAGGAAGGCTGCCTACCAGTATTCCCATCGAACTTTATCGTGAAAAGTCCTAAGTTCTTACCAGTTGATATTCATTATTTACATGTTTGCTCCCGATTGCCGACGCGATGTGTTCCTTGGTCTTCCGTTTCCCTTTACGATTCCAAGTTAAGGTTTGCTTTGTGATAAACTTTGATTTCCGTAATATATGTCCTATCCACTTCCAACGTCTTTTCCTAATTTCCTCTTCAGATAGAGGATGGTTTGCTATCTTCCCCAGTAGTCTGTTGCTGATGCTACCTGGTCAATGGATATTGAGTAGACAACTTTATAAATGCTCACACTTTTAGATGATGGTTGTGGTATTTCTCCAAGTTTCAGCTCCATACAATAGAACTGTTTTGACGTTCGTATCGAATATTCTGACTTAGATATTGTTTGACAGTTGTTTTGAGTTTTGTATGTTCATCAACTGTAGGAATACCGTCTTGATTTGCCAATCCGTGCCTTAACATCTGAATAGGATCTTCTTTGTTCATCGATGATGCTGCCGAAGTACGTGAAAGATTCCATCTCTTCCAGAGTTTCTCCATCAAGTGTGTTTGGGTTAGTGTTCTCTGTGTTGTATTTGGGGATGTTGGTTTTTCCCTTGTGTATGTTGAGGCTTACTGATTCAGAGGCTGTTGCTACATTGGTTGTCTTCAATTACATTTGTTGGTAGGTATGGAATAGTAGATCTAGGTCATCTACGAAATCTAAATCGTCTAGTTGAACACAAGCTTTCCATTGAATTGCGTGCCTTCCCTCCGATGTGAATGTCTTCATAGCCTAGTCGAACACCAGAAGAAACAGGAGGGAGAGTAAGCAGCCTTGTCTCACTCCGGTCCTCACTTGCAATGCACCTGTCCCCCACTCACAACTTTGCAGTATAGTCCGTCGTGTGAATTACGAATGATTTTGAAGATATTCTCCAATACACTATCGTGCCAAAGAACATCCCATAAGGTTCTCCTATACACATTGTCAAATGCTTTCTCATAGTCCAGGGAGCTGATGTATAGTGACAAATTGAATTCAGTTGAGTGATCAACGATGATCCATAATGTCACGGTTTTGTCTGTACACGACTGATCCCTACGGAATACAGCCTGTTGATCTCGAAGTTAGGTGTCTACTGAATCTTTCATCCGGTTCAGTAACATTCTGTTGAAAACTTTTCATAGGACTGAGAGCAGTGTGATGTCTCTGCAGTTCTCGCATTTGATCAGATCTGCTTTCTTTGGTATCTTGATGATGTATCCTTCTTTCCAGTACATCAGCACTTGTTGTTCCTCCTAAATCTTGTTAAATAGAGTGTGAACCATGCTTGCAGTTACTTTTATGTCTGACTTCAGACCTTTAGCTTGTATATTGTCAGGTCTGCTGCTTTCCTCCCATCGATTTGGTTGATGGCCATCCTGATTTCTTTGATCGTTGGTGGAGTGACATCTATAGGGAGGTCTGTGTGTGCTGCTTCGATGTTCGGTGTATTCGAGCGAGATGTTCTATTCAAGAGTTCTCTGAAGTATTCTACCCTTGTGTTCTGGAATCTCAATGATTGCCTTGCATTCTTTGTCCTTGACCGATCTTTCTGGTTTACTATATTTCCCTACCAGTTTTTTCGTCGTGTCATATAGTTCTTCCCGGACTCCCACATTGTCCAAATATTCCATGTACGTATATTAATTGTTTCCCTAGTTTTTAGAAAAGGCATCCGCCTCGTGACTTCCGAACAGTCTCGTCTTTTAACATGAGGCGTCATAATTCTTCTGGATGAGGATCGTTCAACTCGGAGTACAGAGTTTAAATGGCTTCCATTATTT